TACCCCTTGTTCCCAGCTGGACCCTCATCATTGGGATGATTTGACGGCAAGGAGGGGGTCTTTGGGGATTTACAAGATTATCTCTAATAATTCCAGAGCCGAAGCTAAAATTCCTGTAAAGTTCACTGGTACATTCTGTTAAATTTTCCCTGTAATTTGAGGTGGATACAACCTCACAGTTCCTTCTGTTGAGATCTTGTCGTGTGCTGCTCGTGTCTCTCATGTTTTTGTTCCTGTATTGACAGGGGTTAAGTTTCAGCAGCGATCTAAATAATTCTGACTTATTCCAATTTTCTTTTAGATTAAGTAATAAACGACAGCAGACTTCTCTAAAACTTATTAAAATAAAGATTCACAAATCGCTTGATCCAAGACACACTAGAGAGCACCTGTATGAAGGAGTCAGGATTTCAGTATAATGATTTTTTTTTGTCCAAGAATCTTCTGGAAATGCTTCGTATTCCAAAATTTCTTAATTGATCTGTCCCAGGGCTCTACAAGGAGTACAAGATGCTCAAGCAGCAGAAAAAGGAGTTGGATCCCTCCTGGCTCGGTCCCTCCTGCCAACCCACGATGCAGGAGACCCGAACCACGGAGCAGATACCAGAGAAACCCCCGATTTGCCTTTGGGTTTGTATCCAGGAGCCCTGAACCCTCAAAACTTGTCCTTGATGCGACCGCTTGGGGGTGTTTCTGCTTTGTCTTTCACTGACAGGTTTGTCCTCCCTGTTTACAAAGGGGTTTGTTTGACCTTTTTTAAGAAATATTCAAGTTTTAAGGTTGTGTGATTTAGGTTGCTCTATATTTAGCTTTACTCACTTAGCGAGTAGCTTGATTTGCTGAAGCCTGAGGCTGCAAACCATAAATTTCCACTTAGGTCTGTTTTTCCTTTTAGTATGCTGTGTTTTCGGGTTTTTTAGGGAGAAAATAATGCAGATAACACACTGAAGTCATGGTCTGGCTAAGCGTTATGGCTGAGCATTTATCCCAAGTCTGGAATGTTTTATCCTAAGTCTGGGATTTTTGCAGTTTCTTGTATTCTTCAAAAAAAAAACCCCAGACTAGAAGATTCAGAGGCTTCAAGGCTACAACAGCAGATGCAACTCGTCAAGATAAGAACAATTCACAACCTGCCCAGAGACAGAGAAAGAATCCAATGAGGCGAGGTCTCAAACCAAAAATCAATAATTGGACCAAAATTCGCATAAACAGTCTGTCAGGTTGTAATTTCCCCAGACTTTCTGGGCTTGGGGTCCCTCTCTGGATGCAGCCAGCTCGAGCTGACCCTGCTACTGGATGATTTAATAAATTATTCTTTTTTTTTTTTCACTTTGATGCCTGAGACTCTGCTACAGAGATAACACTGGATGCCCACACTTTCTTAACACCCCAACAACCGTTTGTTCACCCTCCTCCCTCCCGGGGATGGGGGAGAAAATTAAAGGGGTGAAGGAAAGAGAGACTCGTGGGTTGAGATAACAACTATTTAATAACTAAACTACAATAATATTGAAAATAATAATGATAGTAATAACAGTAATATACACAAAAGTCTTAAAGAAAGCTGGCGATAAGATTTCATTAGTATCTTGTCAATGTTTTCAACCAGAAGCTGCCTAAAAGCTGTTTCGCTTGACACCGTGGCCTTGTCTCGCAGTTGTTTTGGGCTTTCTCTACCTAATCTGGCAATTAGATCAGCGCTGGAATTTCACTCACTCCATTTTCTCTGTTTTACCTACTAAGATAAAATGCGTGGCTAATACTGAAACTTTATTTTTTAAAAATCGAGCGCAGGAGGAGCAGACGATGGGTGCCAAGATGGTTCCAGCCATTAAGAGAGTTATTAATGTTTGTGCTTCCCGGTGCCCGAATTCCTCCCCAGCTGACTACTCCTCCCTCCTCCATCCCAAAAAAACAGGGATCCCATTAACTAATGCTCTTCCCGCCCCCCACCTGCAGCTAATTAACCCCCTCCTGGGGTTTAATTAATTACTGTCCCAGCAGAAGCTGGGTTCCTCACCTTCTCCTTCAAGCAGCTGGAGACAAACTGCAGCAGGCGTTATGAGGCTGAATTCCCTTTCCTCGCACTCAGCAAGCAGGAGAGGAATTTTCTCCAGTGTGATGATAGTCACTTCATCCTCCCCCAACTTTTGCCGGGTTCCGGTGAGAGCTGGCTCCTCTCCTACCGCAGCGAGCGCCTGGTCGTGCCGTTACAACCAGAGAGTTTGTCGGTGTTACCGAAAAACTGGTGGCTCTATCATGCAGCACTGGTGAAACCGTGTGGCGTTGGCTTTTGAGTGACAGTGACAACAAAAGAGAGAAGAGGTACCAAAAAAAACACCAGAACAAGGAGAAAACACTGAATTTTAGGAGGAAGGAAGGGTTGCGGCACAGCGGTGAAGCCACTGGAGTTCATCAGGTGCCTCAGGGCAGGACGAGGGCTCCAAGCTTCGCTGCACAACAAAATAGTCCACAGCTTTGTAGTTGAGGAATTTGTCGGTCCAGACAATGTCGGCTCTGCCGGAGTCCACCAGCATCCGGCGCAGCTCGGCCTTTACCACGGCAAAATGCTCCTGGTCCATGTCGTGCCAAAGGACGCAGTGGGAAGCTGAGGGCGGAGGTGGCAGATTCTGCCTCCGGCAATCCATGGGGTACGGGTAGTACACCAGGCGTAAATCCCGGAGAATCACCGTTTCCTGCAACAGGGTTTTGAGCACTGTCGAGGAAAGTGGGTTACCACAAAGTCCCAGGCAGCGGAGGCGGGAGCAACGGCAGAGCACCGGCAGCAGAGCTTCCAGCCGGGAGTCCGTCAGGCGGCATTCCGTGAGATCCAGGTGGAGGAGAGAGGCCGAAGCCTCCTCCAGGAGATCCCGAAGAGGTTGGAGAAAGGCATCGGAAAAATTAAGGTAATTCAGGTCCAATTTCTTCAGCGCTGGAGCGTGGATGCTTTGGGAAAGGAAGGCGAGGTCGTTGGGAAGGAGGCTGCAGACGGGCAACTCCAGGCTTTCCAGGGGAACCTGCACCTCGCTGCCAGGGGGTGGAGAACAAGCCGTGAGCCCCCCGAAGCCATCACCGTGCCAGGAAGAAAATTAAATCTTTGCTTCCCGTATTCCCGGAGGAATCGTGTTAGGAAATGGTGGCAAATCCCTCCCGATCCCAAGCTCCCCACGTGTGCAAACCAAAACCCAGGAATTCCCCCCTCCCAGAGCATGGAAAGAGCAGGTTGGGGATCTGCTCCACCAGGAATTTACCTGAGAGCGTGCCTCAGTTTCCCCGAAAGCTTGCAGCAAGTCAAGTTGAGCTCCTTGAGCCAGGTCAGTCTCCCCAGGAGTGCGGAGAGGCCCTGGAGTTCGGCACGTGTCGCCATCATTTCTGGCTCCTCCTCGGCATAAGATATTTTGAGGCTGAGAAGGTCAGTGAATCTGGTGACGTGCACTAAAACGCCGCAGAGGTCGCGCAGATCCAGGTCGTTGAAGCAGAGATCTAACCGCCGAATGCCAGCGGGATCCAGGGTCTGCACCAAATCCAGGGTGTGGGCGAAGGAGAGGTTCTCGGCGTGGAAATCACGGCATTTCAGGCACAGGGGACTGACGGCAGCGATTCGCAGGGCATCACACACGAGGTCGATGTCTCCAGCGACATAAAGATCGGCGAGGACCTCCACTTGGATGGATCGTGGAGCCGCCGAGGCGCCAGAGGAACCTTTGCGTTGTTTGGAGCAACGTTTCAGGAACGCGGTGTGGTTTTTGAAGACCTCGATGCAGGCTTTGGCCAACACGTCCGTGATGGACCAAGAGGACAATGTGTCCGGTACACGATTCTCTTCGTCTTCAGTCTGGAGACTCGTCATATCCACCACCCGCAGACGGCACCGTCTCTCGCTGGGCGAAGAGAAGAAACCTTGGAAGGAAGGAGGCGGGAAACGGCGCCCGCGTCTGGTGCCGTGCCAGGGCCCCTCCAGCTCCCGGCGGAGATGCGCCATAACGCCCAGGATGACGGCCTTCATGCAGGATTTCTTGGGGTCATCGAGGTGGATCGGGCGACGCCTCCGGGGACGATCGTAGTGACATTCCCGGTAATCCAGCACCCAGTGGAAACTGAGGATGGGGAAGGGCCACGTCCCCCCCAGATCCCGCACCACAAACTTCCGCCCGTCCACCACGGCGGCTTGGATGAGGACGGGGTAGAGCTCGGCGGGGAGGAAATCCAGGGCGCGGCGGAAGCTGC